AACAATGTGTATAAATTTGCATTTATTAATGCAAATTTATACACATTGTTTTACTTTTTGTATTACTATTGTATTGTACTAATTTGTAATACTATTGTATTTAAAAAACCAATTAGTGTTTTAAAATACAACATGCAAATTCAGTTTAGTTTCCACCCAAATTTTTGATTTTTTGTTGAATTGTTATATGAAAACTCATCTTGCCCTATTCGCTGTGTTGCCCCGCTTTCTGCTACATACTCGATAATAATAAAATATAAAAAAAATTGAAAACTCAAAATCTAAAGACTTATTAGAAATTCAACATTACTCATATCATTACTTTATATTAATTATATCCCCGAAATGAACCAAACTCTTTTGTATATCTTATCGAGAACATAAATTATGGAATGACTTTTAATATATATATATATAATGAGAATAAATTTACGTTGAAGTCCTAAAATTTATTCAAGTTTTAAACGAAAAAAAAGAAACTTTTAAAATTTGACTATAAAAAAAAAAATTCTTTTACCGTTTTCTATCGTTTTTTTATAGTAAAATTTAATTTGGAAGTTTCGTGCAATTTGAAAATTAAATAATGTTATGCTTTATATTATATTGAAACTAAAAAGTATTAAAAAGTGTTACTTTTTTCTGGGGCATACATTCCATAAATGATGTATGAGATTTCTAACAATTTTTCACCCCTTGTCAAACTCTGTTATTTTTCTGGCCATTTCCCCTTCCCTTCCTTATATATGATGTCAGTTTTCGTATCGCTTTCCCCTTCCTTCCCTAAAGTGACCGTGCATATGCGTAACCAGCATTGATTTGTTTCTGGTTAAATTATACATTTATTTTGTAGTAGAACTCATCAAATAATATTATATATAGAACACTTAATATCTGATCAAATAATAAACAAACTAATCAAATTAAGCAAATTTTATTCTATACCTGTAATATAAATTCAATCACTCATCATCTTTCCACGGGTTGTTGAAGTGATCTACGATTGAAACAATAGGTAGTCAATGCTCTCAGCAAACCAAACGGTTATTGTCTTCTTGAGACATAACCAGATTCGTTGCTTTATACATATATGTGTTATTGGTTTATCAGTATTACTTACATCACAATCAAAATGATGATTTTGCTCCTGCTGTAAGCTGTTTGAAAGAACTTCTTCAAGCCACTTTAGGGCAATTAGAGTTTATTATTCGCAATAGTGACTTTATGTGTTTGCATTTCATCACATTTTACAAGTCGCTAGAGAGAAAACGAAGTTTCGTACTTAAAATAATGACAATTGTATTTGAAATAATAAAAAATGACTTTATGCGTTTGTTTTGAAGCACATTTTATAATCCGCTAAGTTGCAAAATACAATTCTTAAATTTATATACTAATAGTTAATATTTGTAAACAATTTAACTTACAGTCAAATGGTAATACAATAATAAAAAGTTGGTAAATTTTTAAATTATTTTATGTCTCTAATAAACTTACATCAAATTACCCACAAAACAAATATGTCAATTCTATACCACATTGTATATTTAAATACCTTTAAAATCTGCGCGTATAAAATCAACTTTTTTTTTTAATTGACATCATTTTGGTCTCAATGCCCCCCCTCCTTTCCCCGTTGTCAACTCTTGTCAAACGTTTCAGTACCCCCATCCCCCCTATATTTACTGAGATTATTTATGGATAGCCCCTCTATTGCTAGCATCTTACGTCAGAGTTTAACAAATAATTTTTAAACTTATTATTGGTTTCTATTTTTTTGCGTATTTTTTTTCTTACTTTTTACAATAAGAACTGAGATTATAAAATATTTTTATCCTATTTTAGGCTAAATGTTTAAACATGTATATTTTTATCAGTATGTCTTTTATTTGAGTTAATATTGCGATAGTTTGAATAATATACAACGGTTTTCATAACGCTATACTCCTGCTTGAAAGATTAGACGACTGCTATTTCTTATTGAAAGTGTATTAACTATGAGAAGTTGAGATATTAACAAACTGCATGAACTCTGTGAAAGACTTTCATAGTTTCTGTTTAGTGCGTGATTCTGTATAAAACTTATTTTTTAATAACATTATATTGTATTACAGATAAAATATTTTATAGGTGAGAATTATACAAGAGTTTTAATATATTGTCATTAAACGCAAAAATAAGAGTTATTTAATATATTGCAGTTTTTTTAATGCGATTTTATGCAAATATGAGAATGGATTTTCTTCCGCGGACGGTGTGTAACCAGAATTAGGGACTTATATCTTAGTATTTTCTAATGATAGTACAATCATACTGCCAAAAAATTTTTCTGACAATATTTCATTTTTTAAAACAGTTTGCTGAATAGATTTAATGCATCTAATAAAAAGGTAACTTTAATTTTTCATCATGGCGATACTATTTTTATTTTTATTTTACATTTGTTGTCGTAGAACATAAATTGCTTTCACAAACACAAGCAAGGTTTCTAAAAGAAGATAGTACTGATCTTATCATTAGAACATTTTACAAGCGTGTGTTTTTTTAAAGAACAACTACCCTCATGTTTTAAAACGACACAAATTGACTGACTTTTATTGATTCAAATACTAAATATATTACTGGCAATCAAAAAAAGATATGTAAAATGGTTGCTTATTGCTATGGTAACTAATAAAAATAGCTCAAAATACCTAAAAGAAACTGGGTTTACGCTATAAAAGAATAAGTAAGAATGATTAAATTATGTAACTTTGCAAAATTGTTCTAAAATAGTAAAACTTTGTTTGATATTTTAGTAATTTTTTTTATTTGTAAAAAAGTAAATAGAGAAAGCGGAGCAACATAGCAAACGTTTTAAAAGCCCTGAGTTATTTTAAAACTATCAGTCGTGAAGCAATAATACTTTCTCGATATGTTTATGTTATTAAAATGATTTATTGCATACTTGAACTTTCAGTTTGCAAATATAACAATCTAAAATAAATATTAAAACTTCATGAATTTTTCATCTGGTCAAGATGACTTATTATGCAATTTTTGCCTGCAATTTTATAACATTTTAAAAACTACCAATAACTCTAACTAAAGTAACACAAAATAAACACACGTCGCAAAAAACAACTTTTAAACTCTTTACTACCTATGTTCTCTTCACTACCTATGTTCTGAAACTCTTCAATACCTATGAACTCTTCACTATCTATGTTCTGAAGTCTCACGTTTGCTGTCTCTTCTTTAAATGTCTCAGTAATTGTAATGGAGAAATATCTCTTACGTAATCAATTTAAAACATCTTCCACTGCGTAACTAGCATTGATTTTTTTCTGGTTAAATTATACATTTATTTTGTAGTAGATCTCATCAAATGATATTATAGAACACTCAATATCTCATCAAATAATAAACAAACTAATCAAATTAAGCAAATTTTATTCTGTACCTGTAATTATATTACTTAAATATATTACTTATTTTTGCGTTTAATGTCACGATTTAAACTGCCATTATAAACAACAATCATGACATAGTTGGTTAACGGTAATATAATATATCCATATATTAAGCCACATAGTTTGTTTTAATGTTTTTTTATAAGTTTCAAAATTTAAAAAAGATTTTAAAACGTGAACTTTTCTTAAATTAAAAACAGAATTTTAAAGATTTTTCGAATTAAAATAGTTTTTTATATTTAAATTATAAAAAAGTATTCATTTATTTATATTGCTTTTATTCAACATAACTAAATTTGTTCAAAAAAGTTGTGGTTTTACTGTCACAGTACTTGCTAGCGGCAGTTTTGTTAACAAATGGCCTTAACGTAACATAAGACCAACATTTATCTCTTTGGCATTGAAAATGTTCGCGTAACTTTTGAAAATCAAAACTTGCATACTCAAATTATTTTTTGCTTATTTTTATTACGATCGTTTAATAAAGTTTCATTCGCGGTTTTAGAAACATTTAAACGCGGTGTTTATTGAAACTGAATTTTTCTAAAAAAGATTAAATGTTTAGTTGGTTTTTATTTAATTCTTTCTAGCTTAAAAAGTAGTTTAAATTCTTCCATTGTTTTTTACTATATTTTCTAAATATTATAGTTCTCGGTAATTAAAATCACGGTTTAAAACTGCTACTTATGGAGAGAGAAAACAATGCTTTTTACAAAAAAATTGAAAACCATTCAAAAAAAAAGTATTTTTACTTAAAATATTTGTTTTAATATTTATTAACATTTTATATAAAAAAATTTTGATCGTTTAAGTAAAATTTAAAGTCGGTTTAAAATTAAGTAAAAACGTCAGATTAAATATGAAATTTCGAACTAAAAATCTTCGAAGAAAAATTCTACTAAACCATCGAATTTTTTTATTTTGTTGACGACGAATTTTTTTATTTTTGTTGATCTCTTCAAGAAACAATGGCGAAAACCTTGAAAAGTTATTTTTTTATAAACATAAATTTGTATAAAAGATGTATAAAAAGTGCAAATCTAATAAAAAAAGTTGTTTTATTCAAAATTCAATCAACTTAAAAACTTATGACTTTATCTTAAATACGATATTATTTAATAAGAAATTGATAATAAAATAAAAAAAATTAAAATTTTATTTTAATTTGCATATTTCGATTTTTTAATTTAATAGTTAAACATAATAAAACATAAAAATATAAATAAAATATAACACAAACATTTATTACTTATTAAAACAAATATTTATTAACAATATTATTTAAAAAATCATATATTAAGAACATAATAATTAAAAACTGAAAATATTATATTAAAAAAACAACAACAATAAATCATGTACCGTAATTTATAATTTTACAAGTATAATATTATTAATAATAATAATATATATGAAAATTTATATACTATAATAATATATTTAATAATTTATATCATGATTATAACTATTAATATATTTGAAAACGAATTATTTATAAAATATTTTAATAATAAAAAATTAAATTTTTAAATATTAAATCTAATAAACTAGTAAAATTAATTTGTATATTTAAAAACGTATTTATTATAAAATAATACATTAAATATTTCAATAGTTATTTATAGTTATTGTTTTTATTTAATATATTTAAGGTATTAAATATTTTATCGTGTTGTAAAGTTTCTAAATTCATCGAGGTTTTCAAAATCTTTTCCACGGTACCTGATCGAAAACTTCTTGACATTCGAACAACGAATCCATTTATAAAATTCTTTAATAAAATCAATGTCGTCGTGAAGTTCAAGATATAATTCTTTACAAAGATTAATCCACGGAAGAAAATTTTCTTCAAAATCTTTTTTTGTTATTAAATAACGTGAGATCGATATCATCAACATTTCAATCGTATCTTTCGGTTTCCATCCTTCGAAATTAATTGGATGATTAAAGCTGACTTTGCGAACATTAGTTGAACATTGTATTAAAAGTTTTTTTTCTTCATCACTTAATATATTTTTTTCAACACGTAACCACCATAACTTTCTTCCAGATTTTACGTAATGATTTATGAAATAATTTTCGCAAGAAGTTAAGTAAGAAGTTTTTCCATAGACAATCGAAATCCACCACAAATCTTGTTCATCAACAATTGATTTAATTTCATCATTAAATGATGATTGACTTTCATAAAAACATTCAATGAAAAAATCATGGTAATCTTTTCTGTCATCACTTTTACGTAGACGATCTAAAATAACATTAAATATTAATTATAAAAATGAACAAATAATAAAAATAATAATCAAAACTATAACATTATATACATTATAATATTCTACATATTCATACATATAATTTTTACTAACTAATGATTGAATAAAAAACATACAATTTTTTATTTTTATTAAATAGACTATATTTTATACAATAATATTATATACATAAATTTATATTAAATTAAAATGATATAAAAAAATAATAAAAGTGTGAAACCTTTAGATAAAATAATTCATATAAAAAATAAATATATATAAAAATGTAATATAAAATATAATAAAAAAGACAATTTTTTAATTTTGTTAATTTATCATATTTCTAAAACAAAATAATTTAAATAAAAGTTATAAATTAAGCATATTTAAAATAACATAACAAAAATTAGAACGGTTGTTCACACACATAAAAGATTCATAATCATGAGACATTTGCACATCAAAATCAACATAATTTCATCATTAAAGCTACAAAATGTAATATATATAATATATAAAAACAAGCAACAAACATAAGATAAACCGATTGAATTTAAAAATTACAATAACATCACATCAAACGACATTTTGTTTTAAAAAGTAAAAATTAAATCCATGAAACAATCATTTCAACGCAAACAAGAAAATAATTCCTCATTCACAATTTTTTCATGTAAATCATATTTCTCTGAAACTTTTAGCAAAAGAAACAGGTTTTTTCTAAAATATCAAACTTAGACGAACGATTAAAAATAAACGGTTAAAAATGCAATTAAATAATAGCTCAGTATGTTTTAAAATTAGTATGGCATAGGTACTTACATACCATTACCATACTGTACAAGTTTTTTTGCATACTAAAGCATGCCAAACATTTTTTAAAGTAAAAAATTTGTAAATCAATAAATTCTACGCGATGAAAATATATTTTTTGTAGCGTAGAGTTTTTGTGACGAAGGTCTTACCTTATACTTCATAAAAGAATTTTTTTCAAGGTTTATAAATATGCATTTTTTTTTTTTGCACCACTAACATTTTGAAGGCAATTTGATTTATTTTTTAACATATTTTCTAAATCTTAAATTATAATATTCTAAATCTATTTTCGATTTACCTTTCCATAAAAAAAAACTCACTCTTTCAAACTCAATTATCGCATTTCCAAGAGATTAAATATAAAAAAAGTTTGAACATTATAAAAACACGTATCTATTTGCTCTATTATATTTAAAAAAATAAGCTTAAAGATAGAAATCAAAATATTATAAAAAATGTTACATTAAATTTAAAGGTTTACACATTTTAGCACCTTAATCTTGTATATTTATAATATAATTTAACTAATATATCAACAATAAAAAAATACTTATTATCATCAAATTTACACGAAAAACAGTCGTCGTAAGTTAAGGTTATGTAACAATATAAATTTTGTTTTAAAACATAAACTTTTTTAATAAAAACAAATAAACGAATATAAAACTGAAGAATACTTACTTACGAATTTTTAAAAGTATTTGTGACCAGTGTGAAGTTTAATAAACAATGGTAACAGAATAATTTCGTACTTTTTCCAAAGAAAACAAAACGTTTGGTTTTATATACATAAAACTCGATGATCGAACTTTATAAAAATCTTTTTACAAATTCGAACAAAAAATTTAAATAAACCGCTTAGTTTTATAGAATTATATCGTAACTATCGCAACCGTTTAAAATGAAAGTATTTGTGAGTTCACAAAAAAAAAACGTTTAGATCACCTTTTAAGCTTGATAACACGTCGAATAATAAATTATACATTATTTTATACAGAAAATAAACTATTAATTCTATTAAGTATAATGATGTGAAATAAATAAAACGAAAAATAAAAGTAATGAAAAAAAATTTAGTTACTGTTATTTTTTCTGACGTTATAAACGTTATTTAAACTTAGCGTAATCTAAATATAACGTAATAATAAACCAGATGAAAAAACCACAAAAAAAAAAAAAAAAATAGTGAAACGCATGTTTTTTAAACAGAATTTGTAATGTGTTAATTAATATTAGTATACATATTATTATATATTAGTTTGTAAATTAATATCAGTATACATATAAATAAACAATAAACCGAATAAAAATTAAATAATATAACTAATTTTATTAAAAATTTCTCATTATATAAACGTAACAAGACATTTGTCTTGTTATGTTTATATATATAAACTTTATATTATATAATTATATTATATAAACTTTATATTATGTAAACTTATATTTATATCAGTTATAAACCATATCTTTCACAAAATAACTTTCTTTTGCCTAATTTTATTTTTGCTTAGAGACGTTTTTTTTTTTGTTAAACACGTGACAAACAAGAGATTGAGAAAAAAAAATTTTTTGCTTAAAAAGTATAAAAAATTCACTAATTTTAAAATAATAGTATTTTCTATAAAAGCTTTGATCTTCAAAAAAATAATTAAAATTAATTATTTTTTTGAAGATCAAAGCTTTTATAGAAAATTAAAACAATAAAAAAATGGATGTATTTATCCTTGTTCGACGGAGCATATACCACAAGAGCAGATCTTCTTGTTTCATTCTACTTAACTTTTTATTTTGACAACAATCATTCAAAAAACAAATCATCTAGTTAGGTTATCAGTAAAGCTACAGCTTTACTGAAGGCCTTACAATTCTGTTCAAAAGTATGATTTTGTCTTGCATCCTCTATAAACTCAAGTTGGATGAGAATTTATATCCAAATTAATTCATGGTCCATAAACTGCTTCACTAATTAAATTAATAAACTAACCTTATCCAATAAAATAACCTTTTGTCTTAATTGCTAAAAAAAATGAAATTAATAAATTTTAAACATAAAAATTTATTGAGAATAATTTATCTGAACTATGATGTACTTGTGCTATCTTTTGCAAATGATGGTTTGTGATCAGATTCAAAACTTTTATTTAAAACACACAAATTGAGATCTGGTCAAAGCAAGCACAAGTTAATTTAAAAACAAAAATCTCTTTACAAAGGTATTTATCTCTGCTTGAGAAAAACTACAAATAATAATAATACTAATAAAAATAATAATTGCTTTACTTTGAAAAGATTTATAATTTATAAATAATTTCAACAAATTGTTTTTTGGTGCATAAAAAAAAACCATATAACTTGTAGATGAACAAAAAAGCGTTTTAAAAAAACCTAAAGTAAAAGTAAGCTAACTTTAAAACATCTAAAAAAATCTGTGCCTTGTGATTTTAAAATCAGAATAACTAGAAAATAACTTGGAAATTGAGTAATATTTTACACAATAAAAATTATTTATACAATTATTATTACGACAATATCAGAATAAATAGTGAAATTAAATCTATTCTCTACTTAGTTACAATATATTTTAGTAACATTATATTTGTTAGATTTGTTTTCTTTTTAGTTTTATAACTATTACAATTTAAAACACTTTCTCGTAACTTAGTAAACTGAAATGGTGAACTCTTAAACTGTGATTAATCTTATCAGTTTTAAATTAAATCTCAAATCAAATTTAGACAAAAGCAGATTTGCTTTTTATTTGAAATTTTTATTTACTTGGGTTTTTGTTTTATTGATTGTTGATATTAATTCCATATACATTATTGTACCAAAGACAATGTAGATTTAAACTGTGATTTAGCTTAAACCTCACCTATTTATGTGAATAGAAATCTAAAATACTATATTTACTATAACAAAATTGAGATGGTGTTAACCTAAATACTACTAGTCTACTTTGAACTATGCTATTAGATACTGGGATAAAATCTTTTATTTTGCATAATTAAGTTCACCTGGCCACTGTTTTAATTCTAATTTATACAGGATTGATTGTAAACTACTTTGACTGTAAACTAGATAACTTAAGAACACCAAAACTAGTTTGTTTTAGCAGCAAAGAAGTACAAAATAATTAATTTTCTGACCGCCTGATGAAAACGAATGAGAACGAATATTTGCTTTAGTTAGTTTTTGGATTAAAGATGAACTATTGAAGTTAAGTGTATCCAATCAATTACAAAGGCAAATTTATACCGTTTTCAAAAGAGTAATTATAGATCTGTCACAAAAGGAATTAAAATTGCTTGCTTACTTTGTGACATCATTTTTCTGATCTGGATATTTTTGACCAAGACCTGGCTTATTTCATTTACTATATAATGAAAGCAGATGCTGATTAAAAGAATATCAAAATTCAGCTTATAAAAAAGGGAAGCAAAACCGCCTACAAAAAGCAAAGAAGATGGACTGACACACCTAGATTTATTCCAGATCGATTAATTAATTAAAGAAATAATTCCAAACAATATTCCAAATGGTTTCAAAGATATGATTATTCAAACTTTTTCCTGAATAGTTTAGTTAAAGTTGTTACAAAGAACTGGAGAGGTTTTTTCATAACAAAAAAAAAAAAAACGTGGTCAAATTAACTTAAATTTGTAAGTTATAAAACATTTATGAAACATGAACAATTATAAAAATGAAAGGCAAAATAAGGTAGTACTTGTAAGTGCTTAATACACAGAAGTTGCTGTTAAATAATTTTTGGAAAATTTTCCTACTCAACCTAAATTTATTAGGACCTCCTCCCCCTATTTATTTATTGTTTCGGCAAAAATAGAATATATTAAAATAAAAACCAACGTTTTTTTATTGACCAACGTTTGCCACTGGCCAATAGAGAAAAAAAAAAATATTATTTACTAAACTAATTTTGTCAAAACTTATTTAGTATAGTAAAAAACAAAGTAAAAATAAAAATTCAAAAAAATATTTAGAAACATTGAATAAAAAAGTCAAATTATGATTCTAAACTTCTTAATAAAATTTATCTATTAATGATGTACATTTGCTCATACATACAATGCTCATACATACAATACAGTACATACATACATACAATGTATGTACAATACATACATACAGTATACATACATACATATATAGTATGTATACA